TTCCATAAGATCATCTCAAAGCTCTGATTGTCCGATTAGAATATTATGTAATTGCGGACATTCTCTATTGGATTGGAAAGTTTAAAGAAATCTACCCACACCGACACTCTAAAATACAGGACATACGGATAAACTATCATATTTCCCTTTTGAGCTTTTCGATATTCTTTTTCTAATATAACATAAAAATCAAAAATAAAAATTTTGGCTGTGGCTAAGCATGTAGTGCATCGGTTAGATTTTCCAACGATCTTCGTTTAAGATTTTGACAGACAAATACTAACTCTTGTATAATTCGTTAGTATGACTCTATTTCACAACCAGTCATATTTTAATGAAGAAAAATTGTCTTTCTCACAAGAGAAGTTCTCTAGATAAAATTTTCAAGTGCAAATTTTTTCGTACTCCAGTGATATTTTAAAATTTCTCAGACAACGATCACATGTGAAGTTCAAAGGTGACAAATGTATCTAATAACAAAAATGTGAGAGTGTGCGTGTAGACAGAAGGATTACTCACACCCACACCCACACCCCACACCCCACACCCACACCCCACACCCCACACCCCACACCCACACCCACACCCACACCCAACCACACCCCACCCACCCATATGGCGAAATTATATTGATCTACTCGACAATACAATGTAGCAATGAAAATTATTCAGCAAGCTTTAGAGATCGCTCAAGAAAAATTGCCTTCAACTCATCCTCATCTGTTGGAATATAAGGAAACATTTGAAGAAATTCGAAAGAAAATGTAAATGTGCTTTTTTATTTTCGTCAATACATTGCTAATCACTTTTTTCTTAGCTCATTCTCAATTATACGGGCTCGCGACCAAAAGTAACTTAAGCTCGAAATTGGTACAGAGAGAGCGAGGGTGTGTGGGTGTGGGTGTGAATGATTTATTCACTGACACCCACACCCTCTGGCAAAACCATTCGAAAACATTGTGTTCTTGAAAATTCGTTCAACGTGTTTCGCTCTATGAGATAACATATTTTTGTTTCTTGGTGAAATATCGTATCCCTAAAGCAGCACGACCAAAATTTTGCTTAGGTTTCAAATTGAGTATATCTTGAAAAAAATGGAAAATAAAAATTGTAAGAAAAATATATTTCCAATCTTCAGCATTTTTTTTACATTCAATGACACTTCCTATGAGTAAGTGAGTGTCAATTGGTTACGTTATCGTACAATTATAGGTGGCGTCATACGTTTCATGGAAAATATATAAAGAGTGTAGTGCCTGTAGTATATGTATACGAGTGTCGGAACACAAAAGTGGAATAAAGAAGAATGTTATTTTCATAATATCATTGCATGAGTAAGTTTAGCAGAGCTTCTTGCATATATGTGAGTGTGCGGTACACTGATAAAAATATGTGGAGAAGGATAAACACTCAATATCCGTTTATGAACATCAAATTCGTACGTAGACATGATCAACCCTTTCATAAACCCTTTTTCCTTAGAAAAACCGGTAGGAGGTATATCTCCCGTTGCAAATTCATATACCCTTGTACTAGTTTCTGTGTTGATAAACTCTTTTTCCGTTGTTGAGTCGAATCAACCCTGAAATGAAGCGTTTATTATTGCAATGATAAACCCTGCGTTTCAGGGTTGATTCGGCTCAACTGCGGAAAAAGAGTTTATCAACACAGAAACTAGTACAAGAGTATATGAATTTGCAACGAAAGATATACCCTTGCCGGTTTTTCCGAGGAAAAAGGCTTTATGAAAATGTTGATCATGCCTATAAACGGATTTGACGTTCATAAACGGATATTGAGGGTTTATCCTTCTCTACATATTTTTGTCAGTGTATGGGTGTGGTTCTACAAGAAGAACAGACACACACTAAAACACACTCACACTCTATTGAAATTAAGATAAAACGGATTGAAGGACGTTTTTCGTTAATAGGATGTTTCCTAGTCGTGTGCGAATAGAATAGCAGCAAGTTTCATTATAATGCAATATATTTCAAAGTAATTCAGTTCATTGGAGATCAAAACGTTGAACACGATGATTTCCGACATCGGCAACATAGAGATTTCCATGGCGATCGAAAGATAAACCGAGTGGCCAATATAATTGATTTGACTGGTCTCCGCTGCCATTCTCACCAATAACAACACTTCCTCGTGTTGCTCCTTTTGGCCAGCACATGATACGATGATTGTAGTGGTCAGCCACGTAGACGGTACCCAGTTGGTCGGCAACGACTCCCATGGGCGAGTGCAATTGTGTGAGATTACTGCCTTCTCCTTGGCCACCGGCGACGATAGTGCCTTGTGTTGCATCTTGTTGCCATTTGACGACACGGCAATCTTGCAACTGAGATACATATACTGAATGTTCTCTATCGATGAAGATGCAGCATGGGCTCGAGAGTTGATCGAGACGCTCTCCATATTCATTGCCACCAGCAACGATGGTTCCCTTCGTGTCACCACATTGATATCGTCGGACTTCGTGCTTTTCCCAGTCGGCGACATAGAGTTGATCATTGTCGTCAATGGTCAATCCTGTGGCTTGGATATTGGTAATCATGATTTCATGATGATTACCATTTTGAAGAGGCCATTGGACGACTCGTCTATTGTTGTTGTCTGAAATAATAAGACTATCGGTCGTTTTGTCAACGATGACATCGAAGGGATGATTCAATTGATGCGTCCCATCGCCTGGGCCATTACCACCGGCAACGACTTGTCCAACCATTGCACCCGCCTTCCAGCTCATAATACGATGATTTCCCCAATCGGCGATGAAAATTGTCATAGCGTCATCGACGAAGATGCCACGCGGATCACTAAGCTGATTCAAGGCACTGCCTTTGCCATAGCCTCCAGCCACAGTAACACCGTTTTGTGCCCATTTGGCATTCGGTGGAATGTCTCGTATCGAGGCACGCATTTGTACTAGAAAAAAATCAGAGAGAGCACTTTCTGTGTGGATATTTTCTGTGTCTGGGATAAACAAGATTCATCGCCATACGAGAGGAAGATTTTTTGGTACTCTAATGAAATCGAAATCTAGATTTTGGCGAGAGACGAATGGCTCAAATCTTGAACCCAATATTCAAGCTTCACGATGGTGTGGGTGTCTCCTTTTTTGATTCACACCCACACCCACACCCTACTCTGAAAGAGAAAAAGGTACCGTACAGAACTTAATTTGCAACGAAATCGAAACCTTTCGGTTGGTTTCGTATGGACCTAAGACACTTTCAAGAGCTGCCAAGAGTCTAGGAAACTATTTTACGGTTTGGTGGAAAATCTACGGAACCCTAAAAAATAGTTTCGATTTTTGCAACGAAATCCAAACCTTTTTTAAGTTTCGTAGCACGAAACCCTTTTTGGTCCTCGTTAGTTCCGTATGAAACCTTTTTTATTTTCAGTGTACTGAGATTGAGACAACGGGATTTGATAAAATATCATATAGACTTTCAATAAGATTTTGGAGAAAGCACCCAAATCCCAGAAAAAATGCAGAACTGATAGCCGGATTGAGAAATCGAGATGTCACGTCTAGCTCTAAGAGTTTCAGTGACATCTTCCAGAAAATAACAAAATTGCATAAAAGTTTAAGGACGAAAACCGATATTCGAGGATTTTAATCTGGTATCAGGATCTCAAGATTTTGTGAAGAGTTTCAAGAGAGTACTGAATTTTCATTAGGAGTTAAGACATGATACGACTTGTTGAGGAATTGAAATCAGATATATGAATTTACGCGGTTTGAAGGAAACTTGCTATATAATATTTCGTTGACATCTTAAAAAATCGTAGAAACTATGCATATTTCTTTTGACTTAATCAAATTTAATTAAGTAGAAACAACTCAGTAATTGAACATGACCTGCTAGAAGAACGAATGGTTCTGTCTTTATTGGGGCACACAAACTAAGCCTTGAAACTTTTATGAAAGAAACCTGAATTTATCTAGAATCTAATTATCAAAATCAGATACAAGTGTCCAATATATGACGTATTTCAATTTGAAAAAGAAGCTGCATGAGTTTTGCAATGGAAGAATAAAGATTTTCGACCGAATAGAAGATTATGCAAATCTACGTTTGAGAAAATTAAAAGTAATTTCGTTCGATCTGTATGAGTCAGTATCAATTACATGAGAAATTTTCGCTTTCGGCTACTTTAAAAAAGAATCGATGCAACTATTCTAGGATTCAAATTGATGATTCCTTCGTAACATGGCATTGTGTTAAGCATATTTCTTGTAATTCACTGTTTAATGCGTAATGCTATGTAAAAATCACAATAACAGTTTGAGAATTTTCATTTAAATATTTATATTAAAATAGATTTGATCACCACTAATTAGTTAAAAGAAAAAGGCATAAGTATAATGTCACATTCGTCGTATTTTTTGGACTGAGTACTACATAATCTGTGGTTCGATAATTCTGTAAATCGAATTTACACTGATTAAGTATAAGAAATAGGATGCTTTCATGCGATTTCGAAGATAGTCAATTCTTTTTGAAGAAAAGTTCAAAACTAAATCTTAATAAATTATTAGAAAGAATTTAACTTGTTCTAAATAATCATAACAAGTATTGTGAATATTCGATGAAATATGATTGAAAATATCTCTTCCTGGTCATAATTTTATTTAATGTTATCACAACTTTTGGTCAAGTCCAACTAGCAATGAACTTTGATTAAGTATTCCTTAGGATTAAGCAGCTATAATGTTGGTGACAATAGAAAGAAACAATAGATGGATAAGTCTTACCTAGAAAACTACATATATAGAGCACACTTAAGCATTACTTTTGACTTTTTTTTACTTTCCATTTGTCTATATTGTCAGGAGTCGAGCTGCAAAAATTCAGTCTGTTTCCTTATCTCAATATAATTTTTGTAGTTTTTTTCCACTGTTTAATTTTTGAACTTAACACGATTCGATCTCATTTTATGAGCTAACATTAAAACGAATTCCTAATAAAAAGCTGTTTCAAAAGCACAACAATTTAAAGATTGAAATCAGTCTAGAAATCGAAGTAATTACAGGGTATCTGAATTTGTTTTTTCCCTTTCATATTTTATTGCTTTTATTACTATACTTCTTTAATTTATTGAGCCTCAATAGATAACAAACAAGTCTGTAACACACTGCATCTATTGTGATAATTATATTAAATGTCACTTTGCAGTTTAAAGTGTAAAAATGTGTGAGTGTTCTTTTCTCATCAGTCATGCGCACACGTACACTGACACCCTGCTAATATATTTGCTGAATAATATGAATTAGACATAAAATTGCAGTGCTTGATTTGTTTTATTAATAAATGTAGCAAGATGCTTTCGTTGAGCCTTGTATAAGAGATGAAGGTGTCGATGCTATTTACTATTTCTAATATGCTTTAATTGCTTCTTCTTCACTTACACATTCTCTAGAAAAATCTTTAAGTTTTCTTTATAAAATAATATTTCTTCTATATTTTGAACAGAATGATTGAGTATGACTCTACTTCCACCTAGGAGTGTGCTACTTATTGGACTATTTATCATATTATCTACATACATTTTCTCAAAGTGGAAAAATTCAAGGCACTGCAGCAATAAAATGCGCCACTTTCATAGGTAAGATTTCATAGTTAATAAAAATTGAAAACATATAACAAGTTTCTTCACTGAGATACGTATCACTAGATATGGTAGCCTACAAAAAATCCTAGATTAGTATTTTGTCGTTTTGAAATAGTTGCGAAATAGTTGCGAAATAGTCTCAATATACACTTATGTTGTTCAATCAGAATCAGTATTGAAAATGTTATGAAATACTCTTGTCCATTTCAAAAAAAAAGGCGGATGAGTATTCTTTGAATAACTTTTGATATAAACAAGATAGAAAGCTGCAGTTTTCACCGTTGGAAAGAGGCAATGAAAATACACCGATTTGTGTTTTTCAGATTTTTTTCTGGCAAGTATTTTAAAGGTTTTCTCACGAATTTTTTTAAAAAATCAACGATTTTAGACGTGGAAAAAAATTGTTTTTTTGATTAAAAACTAAGAAAAAAAAACGACTTTTTCGTTAAAAAACGACCCAAAAAAATATAGTAACATGTTCAAAACTCACGGTTAGCTAAAGATAATAATGTCGGGTTTATATAGCTGATACAACTTTCGTTAGTGATTCTAGTGCCCTCCTGAAAACTAAAAGTCCATAATATTCACATGGTGTAACGTTTTCTCTTTTGAAAAATTGTCGATGAGCCCTTAAAATACTTGTCAGAAAAAATCTGAATTATAAAAATCGATGCAATTTCATCGCTTCTTTCCAACGGTGAAAACCGCAGCTCTTTATCTTGTTTCTATCAAACGTTATTCAAAGAATACCTACCTGCCCTTTTTTTTTGAAATGGGTAATAGTCTCATTCAGTGGAATATCCATCATAATCGTCGATATTGCTCGGCTAAAGTCATCCACAGAAATTAAATTTATTTAAGTTTCTTTTGAAACAAATGAAACCGAGTTAGAACTTATACAATACCTGAACAAATATTAAAAGTGCTACAAAATTTATGATTGTCGCATCAATCTTAATATTTTCAAAACTGCACTAAATATATTTATGAATATTGGTTCTAATAAATTCTTATGAAAAGAAATTAAGAAGAAAATTTTAATGACAGAGAAGTTATTAATTGATGCAGCATATTCATTAGTACAGTTATTTAGAGTTTTGAAAAATAACGAAGAATCTCTGCTGCAGAGTTGCATCTCTGAATTGATCGTTTTGCAATGTTGTAAACCAATCACAAAATACTATCTAGCAAATATCGAATAAAAAACAGTACCTATTTTTTCCAATACGGAAGAGACGCTAGCTTTCGTGTTTTCGTCACAATTGTTATCTTCTTTTGTCCTATTGATAAACTTAATCTCTTCATAAGAATTTTGTTAGATTTTCTTCTAGATCATGCATGAATATCGGGATGGCATTTTATCATCTTTATGATTAAAAATTTGTAAAATGAAGTTACTTTTCTTTAACTTTTGAAGCTAGGAAACAACAGTTTTCATATGTAGGTAAATACAATTCATATTTCTTAAGGATCCACCCTTCCCCTTTTCCAGGTGTCTAGAGAATGGCTCATTGGAAAATTTTGAAAGTCTCGTGGCAGATGAATCTTGTAGAGTATATCCAAACTTGTGCTAGACTCAAAGTTCCCAAATACTGTCTTGAATGAGATATTCGGGTCGCAATCGGTGAAAATGACCCAACGTTTCGTCCCAGCTTCTCAGGGTTACTATGTTCGATGGAATTGAAACTTCTTTTACAAGTACCGACCACTACTTGGGTTGGATATTCGTTTTGGCTTTTCTTATGTACTTTGTTCTTTAGATGAAAAAGTCAAAACCTTGGATGTACTCTAGAAAACTGCTGTTCTCTTACTAGTGTAGTTTTTGTCAAAGCTGACAAAACCCAACAGTGTCAAATTTTTTGGAATAAAAAAAAAACACTCATCTCAAATAGTGACTAGTATGTGTAAAAAGAGTTTCAGCTCGATCCCTCTTACTATGTTGGAGAAATGGGAGCGAAACGCCAGTTTTTCTAAAAATTTGATTTTGAGAAAAAAGTTGAAAAAAATCGAGTTTTTTTTCGGTATGATCGTCTCAAAAATTGTTATGTTCTCGACCTAATCTCATTCAAAAGAAGGATGTATTTGCGGATCGATAGAAGACACTGCCTGGTATATGTATCAATCAGGAGAGCTGCTATGGCTGAATGGTTAAGTTGTTTGGCACATATCCACAAGATACTGTGTTCCAACCTCGGCTCAATCAGTCATAGAATGACCTTGGACAAGTCACTAACGGCTGTTTTGTCTCGGACAGCCCATCCGATAACAAATTGACTACGTTGTTGACATACACTAAATGGT